CCCCGTCCTCTAGACTGGATAATTTATAAACAACAGAAATGCATCGCTCACAGTTCTGGAGGCTGGGAAGTCCAAGACCAAGACGCCAGCAAATTCAGTGTCTGGCGAGGGTATATTTCTCCTAGATGGCGCTTTCTATGTGTTCTAACGCGGCAGAAGGGACAAACAGCCTCCCTCAAGCCTGTTTTCTAAGGGCACTAATCCCAGTCACGGGGGCAGAGTCCTCCTGACCCAATCACCTCCCAAAGACCCCACCTATTAATACTATTGCGTTGGAGATTCAGGTTTCGACATGTGAATTTTGGAGGGACACACGCATTCAGACCACAGCACTGGTCCACCAGACCGCGTGAGGTTGTAGATGATGGAATTCTGACTGTTTGACTGTGGGTACAAGGTGGTTTCGCACCTCACAGTGTGACTGTTGTATTTTAATTTTCCTAATACGTCTGCAGGATGTCGTGTGCATGTGCGTGCAAACATGAGTGGCTGTGTCGCGTTCTGCCTTTCAGACTGCGGGTGTGTCCATGGATCCCCGTGTCTCAACATGGCTACATCTGTCCACCCTTGAGCCTGTCTTTCTGAGTCTACAACTCGGCTTGGGGGCGTCCGGCTGTTGTGCGAGTCCGGCTGTGTCTCTCTCTGTATCTAGCGGGGTCCCGGCTGTATCTGTCTCTTGGTTTCTGCTCTATGTCTGTTCTGTGTGTGTTTTGTCTGTTGCCTGGGTCTATTTCTCTGTTATCCTGTCTGTGTCTATGGCTGAGGTCTGTGTGTGTGTGTGTGTGTGTGTCTGTGTGTGTGTCTGTGTGTTGTCTCTGTCTGGAACTGCAGTTTGCTATCTCTCTGCACCGAGTCACCTTGCTGAGGCAGGACTGATTGCTCTTCTGTGTGTGGCATCTCTCCGTCCTTGCCTGTGTGTGTCCATGACTGTGTTCTGACTGTAGGACTCACTGTCTGTGTCTGTCTGTTGTGTGCAGCTGTTCTGGACTTGGTCTGTCTGTGTCGGTGACTTCCTGTCTGTCTGTCCCTGTGCCTGTGTTCTGTGCCCTCTGTGGTCCCCCTCCGTGGCCCCTGTGTCTACTCCCTGGCCACCGTGAACTACCAGTGTGAATGGACCAGGGGAAAGGAGAATTGAGGGAAGTAGAAGCATTTTAGACAGACCATGAATCTCACCTGCTGTGAAGTAGGGACAGAGAGGAGAGGGCCCAGGTGTGATGTGGGGACCAGATGTGGCCCAGCTTGGCAGGACGGAGCTGGGGGTCTGGCTGCTGAGGCTAACCACTTACTGCCCACCCATCCCGGAGAAGGCCAGGAGGCAGGATGCCTGGGTTTCTCACAGCGGGTGGGGGCAGGGCCTCTGTCCGGGGACGTCACCCGTTAAACTTCCTCTCTCAGCCACACAGGAAGCTGAGCCGGCTCGGGGCCCAGCCCCAAACTAACACAGGCCCCGGGGACCCCTGGGGAAAGGGCCCAGCCAGGCCAGCCCTGCAGGGACCATGGGATCCAGACCCGAGTAAGAGCTGCCCTGTCTGTCCCTCATCCTCTGGACCGAGACTCCCAGACCAGGCCTGGGCTGGGGCAAAAGGGGGCTGGGGCTGGGGCAGGCCGGCGGGGTGGGGTGACCCACGGGGGCAGGTGGCTGGAGTCAGGGCAGATGCTCAGCTGCGGACTCTACTGGGACGTGCTCAGGCGGGACTCGGTCCCCTCCTTGCTCCCTCTCTTTCCGGTGTCGCGTGATTGTGTCTATAACTCTGGGAGTGCCCGCACCCCTCTGAGCGTGTGGTGTGTCTCAGTGATAGCTTCCGGGGGTCCACAGGGTGCGTGATCGGGGGAGAGGGGAGGCTGGGTGTCCATGTGAGTGGGTGATCATGTGTGACTCGGGTCAATGTGGGGGTGAAGTGCCAGGGGACCCCATGTCAGGGACTCTGTGTCTGCCATTGTTCTCCCTCCTGTCTCACTTCTTGAACCTAAGTCTCAGCATCCTCTGTGTGGTGTGGGGGCAGGGAGGTAGGCAGAGAATGCAGAGCTTAGAGCAAGTACCAGAGCATCGAGCTCTCCTTTCTCTGATGAGAAATGAGGGGTCGGCCACCGGGACCCTCTGGGATCTCACACACAGAGACACACAGACAGCCCCCGGGATGCTCACACAGTTACCCAGCGACCCTCACAGCCGTGCGAGAAAAGACAGGCATCGTTCACCCTCACACTTGCTCAGCCATACACACTCATAGTCCCACCCCAAAGACGTAGGGACATCTTTTCGGGCATACGCCAGACGGAATTACACACACATACACACACACACATGCTCACACAGCCATGCACTCAGCCACACACAGTCACACTCTCTTGCTCTGTCCCAGACTTGTTGCCTGCACAATCAACACCGCTGAACACACAGCCTCACACAACCACACACTCACCGCCGTAAGCTCCTGGGGTCATGTGTATGCCAGTGCACACACACACACACACACAATCACACACATGTGCAGAGTGGCAGACACAACCACACACATGCACAGAAGCAAGTCCCTGGACCCGCTAAGCCCTTTCACGTCCCACAGAAGGGGTCCCCCTGCCGTGTTTGATTGGTTCTTCGAAGCGGCCTGCCCTGCCTCTCTGCAGGAGGGTGAGTTGGGCGCGTGCAGGTGGGGGGTGCGTGGAAGGTGGGCCTGGGGCCCTGAACTCAGAGGCCTGCACTCCCCTACAGATCCCCCCATCCTGCGGCAGTTCCCTCCAGACTTCAGGGATCAGGTATTCAGGCTGCCTCCTTGCTCCCCCAGGGCCAGGGCCAGTCCCCCAGGGGGAGGGGACTCTGGGACTTAGACCTGGAGTCCAGGGATGGGGGCCAAACCCAGGTGGCCAAGCAGCCTGTGTTTCTCTCCATCTCCAGGAAGCTATGCAGATGGTGCCTAAATTCTGCTTCCCTTTTGATGTGGAAAGGTACAGAAGGGCGCAGAGACCCAAGGGACCTCTTAGAGACCCCAAGGATTCAACACCCAAAGACTCAGATATCTGGAGACCCATATTCCTGGGGACTCTGAGATTCAGGGACTCAGATACTCAGGGATTCAGAAACTCAGACATTCAGGGACCCTGACAACTAGAAACCTATATACATAGGGACTCAGAGACCCAAGGATCCAGGGGCCCAGGGACTCAGGGACCCAGATATTCAAGCACTAAGGGTTCCAGGGGATCAGTGACCCAGAGATCCAGGAACTAAGGGACCCAGGGGCTCAAGAGATTCAGGGATCTGACACCTAAGGACTCGGGGACCCAGAGATCCAAAGACTAAGGGACCCAGGGACTCAGGGACAGAGATCTGGGGACAAAGGGACCCAGGAATCCAGAGGCTCAAGGGACTCAGGGGTCTGACACCTAGGGACTCAGGGATCCAGATACCAAGGGACCTAGGGACACAGGGACTTAGAATACAAAGGGGCCCAGAAAACTGGAGACCTGTACACCCAGGGATGAGGAACTCAGGCATGCAGGGATCCTGCCAGCTAGGGACTTAAACACCCAGGGTTCCAGGGGCATTGCTGGGGAGGGTGGGGGTGGCCAGAGAGCTGGGATGCCCAGGTCTCTCTGAGAGCCTTTCCCATCCCCAGGGAACCCCCCAGCCCTGCGGTACAGCATTTCACCTTTGCCCTCACGGACCTGGCGGGCAACCGCAGATTCGGTTTCTGCCGCCTGCGGGCTGGTGCCCACAGCTGTCTCTGCATCCTCAGGTGTGGTATACGAGGGTCTGGGGTGAGGGGTAGGAAGGGTCTCGAGGTCTAGGGGCGCTTCCTCAAACCCATCTCCTCTCTCCACAGCCACCTGCCTTGGTTCGAGGTGTTCTACAAGCTACTGAACACAGTGGGAGACCTCCTAGCCCAGGACCAGGTGAGATCAGCCCTGCTCTCACTCCTATGGGAGTCCCACTCCTCGTCCCTCCCAGGCCACCCAGCCTGAGTCATGGCCCTCGGGACCCCCGACCCCCACCCAGGTCTCAGAGGCTGAGGAAGTTCTTCTAGATCTGCTGAAGAAGCCCCTGCCTGGGTCCCAGGCCTCAGTGGATCTAGAGCTGGTGAGTAGCCCCCCAGCCCTGGGCCCTCGGTGGGTGAGGAGGCTGCGCCCCAGCCCTGGGGACCACACAGCTATACTCTCTCCCAGGGCAGCAGAGTGACGATGTCCAGCGCGCACCAGCCACCTGCTCCCGGGAATGGCAGGCCGGTGAGTGGGGTTAGGGACCCACCTGGAAGGCTGGGTGTCCAGGTGAGGCCAGCCCCATGACTGATTGATGCCCCCTGGCAATGCCCCCTCCAGCTTTCCTGCTTCGTGGCCCCGGATTCCGGCCGCCTGCCATCCATCCCTGAGAACGTGAGTAGGGACCCAGGAGGGGACTCTGGGGGCGGGAACAGGTCTCCAAACCTGTAGGGGGATGCCAACTCCTGGTGTCGGTCAACACCCAGCGCACCTCTCTGCTCCTCAGAGGAACCTAACGGAGCTGGTGGTGGCTGTGACCGACGAGAACATCGTGGGGCTGTTCGCAGCACTCCTGGCGGAGAGGAGGGTCTTGCTCACCTCCAGCAAGCTCAGCACGGTGAGGCGGGGCCGCGGTCCAGGGGGTGGGGCGGGTGGAGCCTGAGGGCAAAATCCTGGCCCCAGCCCTTTGATGGTCAGGACGAGCTGAATCCTGGCTCCGCCCCTATGGAGGGAATTGGAGGGGGGAGCACTGTGGCTCCTCCTCTCCGGGAGTACTGAGTCCAGGCTCCACCCCCTATGCACCAGAACAGGCCTGGCTCCTCCCCTCTGGAGGATGAGACTAGGGAGCACTAAATTCTAGCTCTGCCCTGGGGGAAAGGACAGGTGGGAGCTGAATGCTGGCTCCACCCCTGGGGGCGGGGCCAGAGCGACCTGAATGGTAGCTCCGCCTCTTTTGGTGTGGGATCAGTGGAGGCTGGTCCTTGCTTTACCCCTATGGGGTGGGATCCAGTAGGGTTGCATATTGGCTCCGCCCTAAGGGAGAGATTAGAACGGGCTGAGTCCTGGCTCCGCCCTCTCAAAGCACACTGTACTCAGCCGAATTCTTGGTCCCCATATGATTCCTAAAAGGATCCCAGTTTTCACCCCTTACCCAGGGGGGACAGGAGACTGGGGACGTGGGAAATGGAGGTGGGACAGCCACGGTCTCAGAGTGGGTCCTCGAAGTTGGGAGTCCAGGACCCGACTCCACGACCCCCACCCCATGCGTCTCCAGCTGACGTCCTGCGTCCACGCGTCCTGCGGCCTCCTGCACCCCATGCGCTGGGAGCACGTGCTGATCCCCACGCTGCCCCCGCACCTGCTGGACTACTGCTGGTGAGGGAGGGGTCTGGGGAGGGGCGGGGCCTGGGGACAAGGCCTGGGGACCGTGCCTTGCATGACCCTACCCCCTCGGTCCGCAGCGCGCCCATGCCCTACCTCATTGGAGTGCACGCCAGTCTCGCCGAGGTGAGCGCCGAACCCCCTGGACGGCGGAGGCGGGAGGGGTCCCCCTCCCTCTATATCCCCGGATACCCTCCCCTGCCAGGGATCCTCGGGCTCTGAGTGGCCGTCCCGCTATCCCCCGCAGAAAGTGCGAGAAAAAGCCCTGGAGGACATCGTTATGATGAACGTGGACTCCAACACCTTGGAGACGCCCTTCGACGACGTGCAGGCGCTACCCCCAGACGTGGTCAGTGTCTCCCCCTCCCACCCTCCTGCGCCCCACACCCGCCCACTCAGCGCCACCTGCTTTGTCCTCTAGGTGTCCCTGCTGAGACTTCGGCTAAGAAAGGTCGCTCTGGTCCCCGGGGAAGGGGTGTCCCGTCTCTTCCTCAAAGCCCAGGCTCTGCTCTTCGGGGGATACCGAGAAGCGCTCGTCTGCAGCCCGGTGAGCAGCAGGGACAAGAAGGGAGAGGTCTCATGTGTTCTGGAAGGAATCACATTAATAACGATACCTAGCATTCATGGAATGCTTACTTCGGGCCTCTGTTTGCTCATCTGTAAAATGGGATCACAATAGGCGCACCCAAAAGGCTCATTTGAGACAGTGAAACAGCATATTCCAAGCACTTCGAATCCTGCCTAGCACATAGGATGCTAGATTTTACTATTATTATCTCATTTAATGCTCACAACAATACTATGATGAGATGGATCCTATTATATTATAGTCCCATTTTACGTATGAGGAAATCAGGGTTTGGAGAAATTCCATGGGTGAATGTGGAAGCCAGGACCTTGACCTTGAACTGCTGACTTCTCAAGCCCCCTTCTCTGTTTTTCACAACCATTCTTTAAAATCTTGAGCGGGGAGGCAGTGGTCCCGGGATCATTTGAGCATCTGATGTTCATGTTGGCTCTGCCTTTGCAACACATCCCAAATCTGCACCTGTCCCACCCGCCACGCACCACGGCCTGTCTTCCCTGCCACAGCCAGAGGCCACCTGTGAATACCTAAGTTAAGTCATGTCCCTCCTCTGCCCACAGCCCTCCAGGGCTCCCACCTTCCTCAGAGGAAAAGCCCAAGTCCTCCTTGCGGCCCTGCCCAGGGGTCAGACACACAGCAGGTGCCTGATCCACGCTTGCTGCATAGAGAAGTGGTAGAATGAAGGAGGTGGCTGGGGACAGGAAGGCCATAGGGAGCTCAGGGTGCGGGTCCTTCTTCCAGGGCCAGCCGGTGACCTTCAGTGAGGAAGCCTTCTTGGCCCAGAAGCCTGGCGACCCCCTGCAGGCCTTCCACCAGAAGGCGGTGCACTTGCAGCTGTTCAAGCAGGTGCGCCAGAGCCCTGAGGGTGGAGCCAGGGCTGGAGGGGGACTGCTGGGTCCCTGAGGGCCAGGCTGGAGCCGGTCTGGCAGGATTCCCAGGGTCCCCAGGTGGGGGAGGCAGGACTGCACTCCTGGACTCCTAAAGATGGGAGCCCCTGACTACTCCTGGGTTCCCGAGAGGGAGTGGGGTGGGACCAAATTCCCAGGTCCCATAAGCAGGGATCTGCCGGGGTCAAGGGTGGGGGTCCACGCTGCCAGATTCCAGAGGAGGCAAGTCCTGACTGCTGACTCCCTTCAAGGCAGGTCAGGATTTCTGCACCCTAGGGACATTGGGGGAGGGGTGGTAAGTAGGCTGGACTCCAGATCCCCAAAGGTGGGGAGGGGTCAACCTACTCCAGGCTCACTAAGAGGAAGTGGGTCAGTCTGGAGGGTCGAGGTTTGGTCCCTGGGGACAGGTCCTGACTTGGGGGGGTGGGGAAGAGGGCTGGATCTCTGGTCCCTAAGGTGGCCTCCAGTGCCCCAGGTCCTCAGGGTGGCTCCTGGCGGGGCCAGGGATGGCTTGTCCGCCTCGACAGCAGGCAGACTGCTGAGCCCTCGTCCACAGATGTGTCTGACTCATTGACTCCCACCCCAGTTCATCGAAGGCCGACTGGAGAAGCTCAACAGGGGGGAAGGCTTCTCAGATCAATTTGAGCAGGAGATCACCTGCTGCGGGGCCTCCTCAGGTGAGCCCAGCCCTGGAGTCCCCGCCCCACCAGCACCCCCAGCCTAAAACCTGCCTGAAATGACACACCGCCCTCTCTCTCCACCCCAGGTACAATTCGCTCCTATCAGCTCTGGGCAGACAACCTAAAGGTAATTAATCACACCAAACACTCATCAAGTGTTTCTTATTGTATTAACTGAATCCCACAACAGTCGACAGGTAGGCTCATGAGCACGCTCACCCACAGAAGTGAGGAAAGGGACGTAGATTCAGAGAGGGAGAGGAACTTGCTCAGCATCACACAGCCCAGGGGGGAGAGACGGGGTTGGTCCCCAAATGTCCAAGCCTCTCTTCCTTGGTGTCTGTTATCCCCTAGAAAGGTGGCGGCGCCCTCCTGCATTCCGTCAAGGCCAAGACCCAACCAGCCGTCAAGAACATATACCGCTCGGTGAGGCCGAACTGGACAGGCCACTCTTTCTTGGGTGACGAGAGAGGGAACAGAGGACACTTCGATCGCTTGGTGGGGATGAGACATTTTCACCCCAACATTCTAAGTGCAAATGTGCTTATCAGAACTGAACCAGCACTTAAACCGTTAACAATTCTTCCCACTTTTATTTTTCACAGTCCATACTCGTTTTCATCACAATAATTTCCTGCCTATTTAAAATCGACAGCCAAGATTCATTGTCCAACATCTTTTATCCTCAGATACAATCCCAGCTTCTGCCCTGTGGTTTTTTTGCGTTTTTCCTCCCAAACCCAAAAGTTTCCTGGGGCCAACTTTAGCAGCTCGACATCGTCCGTTCAATTTTATTCTTCACAGCTTTTGAGACACGAACACCTTTTTGCCATGTTGCTTGGCCACTCCATTTCATTTGGGGGGTTACTTCCTTTGGGAATATTCCTCTTGTGGTCTTCAAAGGGGCGAAAGTTTGTATTAACTTCTCAGGTGGTGGCGCATGGTGGCGCATATTTGTGGGACATAGATGGACAGATGGCAGCTGTCCTAGGGGACAGAGGGCTGAGCTCTCAAACGCCCACGGTCCGATCACCCTTGCGTCTAATTCTTCCCTTGGCCCCTTCGCAGGCCAAGAGTGGCTTAAAGGGTGTTCAGAGCCTCATGTTCAAGGTAAGACCAATGAATCGCCAATAATACCAGAGGGGGAGGGAGAGGGGCTCCCAGCTCATGCACCCTCTTCCTAGGATAGGGACTCTGCCTTCCAGAGGGGGGGCTCCCTGAGGGCCCTCAGCCACTCAGATCGCCTGCAACAGCGTCGACCCATCATTCAGCACTTTGGACAGGTGAGAACACCCCCTCCCCTCCATGCACACCTGGAATTATCTCTCCAACCAACCAGACATCTCACCTCCCTCTTCACCTACCCTAATACTTGCCAACTGCTTCAAACTCACCCTCCTCCAGAAAGCCCCAGCCCCCTGATTCTACAGCTCCTGAGGTCTTACCCCCCACCTCCAAAATCTATCCTTTGCAGAACAGGCCCCTTCGCCCCAGCAGGAGGCTCCGCCTAGAAGAAGGACCTTCTGAGCCCCGAGGGGAGGGGTAAGGCTCAAAGTGGGGCGCCACTGCTAGAAGCGGGAGGCCAAGACTGATGGGGAGGAGGGTCCCCAAGCTCTCTAGAGCAGCCCGACCAGAACTGGGGGGTGTCAGGCAAATATCTGAGGTCACCCGTCCTCACCCTCAGGACACCCCCTCTGAGTCCCGAGGGCGCCCAGGGCCTGTGGGCAGAGGAAGCTCTGGACAGCAGTTTCCTGGGGTCTGGGGAAGAACTGGACCTGTTGAGCGAGATTCTGGACAGTTTAAGCATGGAAGCCAAGAGCGCAGGCAGCCTGCGACCGAGCCAGAGTCTAGACTGCTGTCACAGAGGGGACCTGGACAGCTGCCTCAGCCTGGTGAGAGTGCGCACCCCATCCCAATCTTCCCCGCCCCACCCAACTCGCCAGCCCCTGCCCCATCTAAAGGCCAGCAACTTGCCGTCCCTCCACCCCGCCCAGCCCAACATACCAGGAAGAGCAGGATGGCAACCGGATGAGGAGAAACCCTCCGAGCCTCAGCCCCTGTCCCTGCCTATGCACCTGCTGTCCCTGCAACACGCCCAGCCTTTGGATGACACCTCAAAGAACCCCGATCCCCAGCTACCCTCAGAGGCCGACCAAGAAGTCACCTCTTCATCCCAGTCCTGGACAGCGTCTGCAGACCCAAGCAGCCAAGGGGACCCGGAATCCTCCCCTTTCACAGAACCGCTAATCCTTCATCTCGCCCCTCCCCCCAAAGCGGCTGAAGATTCTAGAGCCCAGGAGAGCTCCTGCTCCTCGATCCCCACAGCTCCCACCCAGCCCAACCCTCCAGAAAGCCCCCCACTTCTGGCCCCCACAAAGCCTAACTCTGACATCGCTTGGACGTCCCAGCCCCTGCATTCTTCCTCGGGCCCCAGTGCTCCGGAGACCCCCACGGCCCAGCCTCCCAAGGTCCTGCTAGCAAGGCATGCTCACCTCCAGCCACCCGAGGGGCAGGGAGCCCCTGACCCCCCTGCTGCACCCACCAGCAGCTGGCAAGAACCCCAGGCCAGGAGCCGGCCCAGAGTCGCTGACCTAAAGAAGTGCTTTGAGGGTTAAAGATCAGGGGTCCAGAGGACACCCCAGTCCCTCAATAAAGCCACAAGAGCCCACAGCTGGTTTTTCCTGGTGAGTTTATCTGGGGCCCTCTCTGTCTGCTCAGAAACCCACCCCAACCATCTCCCTCCCTCAAGGGGCATCTGAAACTCCCTAGGGGGGGCATTCCAGGAAGTCCCCTATCTGGTCCCCTAGGACCCTTGTCACCTTACAAGTCACCTCTGCATTTGCTTTGTCCATCTAGGTTAATGCCCCCACCAGCTCAAAGAAAGCTTTTATTATATCTCACTACCAATTTTATATAAATATATAAAAAGTGAGCAGCCCCCCCGCCCTCCCTTGCCCTCAGGGGCAAGGCCTTAGAATTGAAGCAACTTCTTCCCTTCTATTCTTAAGCACTGGGTGGGTCTGACTGCCCAGAGAGGGCTCTGCCTTCCTTCCCCAAAGGTCACACAGCAAAGAAGTTGGGGGAGGGGTGGAGAGGTGGGGACCTAGATGGGCAGGCAGCCCCGCACCGGCTCCTTGGAGTCTTGGGGGGCCCGGGCCTCAGCTGCATGGGAGAACTGCAAGAAAGGAGAGGGCGTTGTCGGGCCCGTGCGGCACAGCGGAGGTGGTTCAGCAAGCGGGGAGCAGGTCCCCAGCCCTGGCACCCCCAGCTGCAGGCAGAGTCAAGCAGAGGCAGCATGCTGCGCGCAGAGCCTGCCAGGCGGGTGCCCATCGCCCCTCTGCCCCCCATGTCCTCCTGAGCCATCAGAGGCTGGTGTCTTGGTGGCAGCTGCTGTGTTCGAGCCAGCACCCGGCAGTCCTGAGCAGCGGTGGCGGCTGCAGCGGGCCCCAGTGTTCAGATGAGCCGCTCCTCTGGCGGCAACTTGAGGTTGGGGGGCGGTGGCACGCGGGCACCCACCTGCTCCTCGCTGCTGGGCCGGTAGGTGCCCTCAGTCTGCCGCTTCTCACGAAGTTTCCGCACCAAGAGCGCCAGCCCCACAGCCAGGAGCAGGGCACCCAGGATGGAGAAGACCACAATGATGGCGGTGACGGCTTCCTGAGACTGCGGCGAGGGGGCAGGTGTGACTCACCTGAGCCTGGGGATCCTGTCCACCCCCACCAGTGCGGCATCCTCCCCCACATATGCACACGCACCTGCCACTTTTGGTGACCTGGTCTGGGGTTCCTAGATCCTCATCTACCTTTTCCAGGGCTCTGAGGCTCCCCCGCCTGCCAGGTCTGGGATTCCCCCTTTTCCAAGTACCTGCCACATCTGGGACCCCTGCTCCCGCCGCATCTACCAAGTCTGGGCTCTTAGCTCACCCGCTGCCTGAGGGGCACATGAGGCTGCTGACGCCTGCCATGTGCAGGATTCCTGTGTACCCCCCAGGGACTCCTAGTCCCCCTGCTCTGGGACTTCACATCTCCCAATTTACCTCCATTATGATATTCTGATCTCTTCCACTAGGGGTTGTCCCATGCCACCCTGGCCTGCCACCTCTGGGGATGGGGGGGGTCTAGTCCCCTCTACTTGCTACATGTGGGACCCCCTAAATAACACCCCTGCTGCCCTCTTCCCACCTATACCCCCTACTCACCAGGGCCCCATCGGAGCTGGGGCCAGAAGGCGAAATAGTGGTGTTTCCATTGGCGGCAAGGGTCAGCGCTGTGGGGGCTGGATAGAGAATAAATCGTCCCCAACTGGCCTTCCCATCTCAGCCCAGCCGCACCTTCCTAGGGCATTCCCCCAAGACCCCCAGCAGGGCCCACTTAAAACTGCCCCACTGAGTCTTTCTTCGGCAGGCAGGGCCCCCACTTCCAGCCCATCAGAGCCCAGCAGGGAGTAACCGGCGGTTGTTTGTGCTGAGTTGGGGGCTATTATACCACCAGGTGTCCGGAAGCCCAGCCCTCCCCCCTCACCTCTTTGGCCCAGGAGCCCTTAAGGACCTGGGCGGGTCTTGCTTTTCCCTGGAGTGTCTGACTCACACCTCCCCCCAGGCTCCCGAAACTGGAATTAAAAGACTGAATGGCTGGGTCCCCACCTAGAGCCAGCCCCTCCTCCTGGCTCCGGACCACCCAAAACACCTCAGCTATACTCGGGTACACAGAGGTACACGAGTCTCCCTTTCTCCCGCGTTCTTTTCGGAGCCGGGCACCCCAGCTCACAATTCCACCCCCCTCGGGAACGCAAGAGTTCTCCTAGACCAACTTCCACCGGCCAAGGAAGGAGCCAGAAATCCCAAACACTCAGCCTAACCCCGTAGACCCCTCCCCAAGGCCCCCCATGCCCACTCCCCAATTCTAGAGCCCTCTCTCTGCGCCCCAGGCACCCAGCGCTTCTCAGCCCCGCCCCCAGCAGAGACCCAGGAATCCGGACCCTCCCCCCAGCGCTCCCGCCCGGTACCTACTTTGCCCCCGGGCTCGGCCCCAGCGGGCAGGCAGCAAAGGTAGGCCCAGCGCCAGGAGCAGCCCCAGGCCGGGGTTCGCCATGGGCTGGGTGACGGGTTGGCAGCGCCGGCGATGGGGCTTCTTGCGCGCGCCTCTCCTACCGCATCTCGCGCCCGGGGTACCTACGACTGGGCACCTGGGGGCGGGAGAAAGAGAGGCCCGGGTGTGGGGTTGGGGGCTGGACCCGGGCGCAGGCCCATGGGAGAGGCGACCGGCGCCAGGGCACCCCAGAGTCCCGCCCCGCCCCCGCCGCCAGAGGTCAGCGATTAAAGATTAACTCCCAGGCGCGCCTTCCTGGGCTGGGGAAAGGAAGGGGAACCGGTGAAGGGGGCTGGGAGGCGACAGACCAAGCCGCGCGTCCTGCCGCCCCTACCTGGCCCAGGTGTCTTAGACCTCGCTCAAGTTCCTGGTCCCGATCCCTCTCTCGAACCCTCGGTCCGTCCGTCGGTCTCTCGGTCGGACCCCACCGGCTCCGCCCGCTCACGTGACCCGGAAAGTTTAGTCACTCACCTGGGAGGGGAGCGCACTTCCGGCTTGTGCACCTGAGCCTAGATGAGAGGGCGGAGCCAAGAAGGGGGCGGGGCCGCGCCCAGGGCGCACCTGTAACGGGAAGCCAATCCCATAATGAAGAAGCGCGCAGCTGTTAGAAGGACCTCACACCTGTACTGCGGGCACATCTGTAGGAGCGCACAGGTGTGGAAACACGGGGCAGGTAGACACCTGTGTATGAGGCACTCCTACCGAAAAAACACCTCTGTGGTCAAGACCTGTATCGGGGACAAACCTGTCTAGATGTCAGCTGCACTGCACGGGATCACGTGTAAGAACACTTACAGGCTACAACTGTATTGAACCACATCTATATGAAGTCTAGCTGAATGGAAGCACACCTGTGTGGAAAACGTCTGTATAGAACACACCTGCATTATAGTAAACGTCTGAGTGAGGCACTGTGGTGCCGTGTAGACCTGTTTTGGAAACGCATCTGCATGGCACATCCATGAAATGTACAACGCTTGTCTGGGGGAATTCCTGTGTGGAAATGTATTGCAAATACCTGTATGAGACACGCCTGCAGGTAAGTACACCTGTATGGGACCTAGTTCTATGAAACGTACTCAGATGGGTGTGTACTTGATGGAACACACTTACTGGGAGGGAGACTGTATAATGCATTCATGGGTGGAGGAACACCTGTTGAGAAACATACCTGTGAGGTAAAAGAAACCACCTTGTATGAGAAACACCTGCGTAGAATTGCGCTCAAGCGAGGGAAAGACGTGGGAACATCTGCATGAGGCACAGAACCGAGGCTCACGTGTATGGAAGCCCACCTGCCAGTGAAAAAAACACCTATCTGGGGCATCTCCGTGGGAAAACATCTGTATCCCTCATGTTGTCGGCCATCTGCAAGAAACACCTGCGAATGAAAACACCTGCTGGGGGACCCTTTATAACGGATTCATTTGCTGACACACACCTGTTTGAACACACCTGTCTGGGCAGAGGCTGGGCAGGAACGAAACGTGCCAACCCCTGCTGTACCCCTTAGTGGGCATGAGCCCTGGGGACGGAGGATCGCTCACCCTCCTGTTTCCTTATCTCGAACGTGGAAAAACCAGTACCACCTACTTTATAGGATTTTGGCGAGGACGACGCGAAAGGTGAGTAAAAGTCCTGGCATGTGCAACGCACTGAATCAAAGTTAGCTATTGTTACTATTAAATGGTCCGGGCGCCCTTCCCCCTAATGGCCAGTCGCGAAACTGCGCCCGAAACTAGTGGGCGGGACAATCAGCAGGTGCAGCGAGCGAGACAAGCTGGGGCCCCACCTCCAGCGCTTGGACACCAGGTCACGTCCCGGACACTGAGACCCTCACCAAGCCGGTTTGGAGAGAGCATCCTGTCTGGCCTCTGAAGCTGGCCGCGGCCCCTTTAAGACTGCCTGGCGGGCGGTGGGACCGCGGGGGCCTACGGCAGCCCGGGGTCAGCGGGGAGGCCCCGCCCAGTTGGGCGGGCGAAATGGGCTGGGTGAGCGGGGTTGTGAAGGCTCTGGCCAATAGGAAGCCGACTTGGCAGCCGCGCCGCGCGTTGATCTTCCGTTTCCCAGTCTGAGTGGGACTGAGAAAGGAGGAGCACAGGCGGGACGAAAAGACCGGGGTTGGTGGTGGGGCTGAGCGGGCACCGCGTCTCGATCTTCTGTTTCTGTGGCCGAGCGCGGAATGTGACAGAGGCGGGCGGGCGGGCAGATGGAGCGCTGAGTGGCGCAGGGTTCTTGCGTACGTCTGGGGAAAGCAAGAACTTTAGTTCCTGAAGATTAGTAGGGGAGGAAAGTCAAGTGGAAAGAGATTACGAAACAATCCTTAACATCCTCCTACTTCACCGCCTTGGAGAAAGGGGAAACTGAGGCACGCAGAGGCAAGACTCTGAAACCAGAACTGAGACGATTGAGCGCCCTAGCCCCTCTTCCCAAAAGGAGCTCCGATGCCCCCCTCGGCTGTGCAATGCCGGAGCATCCCAGACGTCCCTCCCCACGCCCCCAGCTCCGCCTTCGGTCCCCTCCCCCCAGTGCGGGGCGGAGGAGGAGACGCGAGTTCTGGCGCGGGCGGCGACGGCTAGCAGTCACCACCCCCTGCGAGCGCCAGAGCCCAGCCAGCCGCGCGGAGGCTGCGGAGCCTGTGGTCGTGGAGCTGGCCCTGCGGGGCCCCGGGGGGGAGGGGGAGCCGCAAAGCCCCCGCTGAGGCCGCCGTTGCCGGGCCTCTCCTCCCCCCCGGGCCGGCGCCATGCGGGGGGGCCCGGGAGACGCGGAGCGGCGGCAGCGCTGGGGTCGCCTCTTCGAGGAGCTGGACAGTAACAAGGATGGGCGCGTGGACGTGCACGAGTTGCGCCGGGGACTGGCGAGGCTGGGCGGGGGCGACCCAGACCGCGGTGCCCAACAGGTACCCCCGCCGGGACCCCCTACCTAGAGCCCGCGCCCGGTAACCCGAGTCCCTGAATGGGCCGGCCGGAGCCGCCGGGGCTACCTGTGGCTGGACTCCAGGACCTGTGTCCGGGTTTCCTTCCCCTGACCCACGCGCGTCTGGCCTAACAGGATGGCCCCGAGGCCCCGGGCCTGCAGTTCGGCCCCGGGCCAACATCGAACCTGGCCGTGGGGGCTGTCTATCTGGGAACAGAGCTGGTGTCTTCCTGCCCTCTGCCCGAGACACACCCTCCTCCTGACTCCGCACAGCCTGAGACGTGCCCTCCTCCCACCTCCGGGAGACACACCCTCCACCCTCCTCTGGGCACCCCCTGCTCTACAGCCAGCCGCCCTGGGCCCTGTGTTTACATTCCCTGCCTGCTCTATCCGTGGCTTGGCTCATTGCCCCGGGCTGGCCCCAAGCCTGGGGACCCAGTCTGAGACCACCCTCAGCTGGGGGAAATGCACCTATCAAGAAAGGAACTTCCTCCCCTCCCCCTACCTTGCAGGTGTTCCCTGCACCTGTAGCCTCAGATGCCCCTAGAGCATCTATCTCCACCTCCTCCAGTGCAGCCGCCCACTTCCCAGATGGGAACACCAAGGCCGCCACGCTGCTCAGCTTGGATCTCTCCTGGCCCACATTGCTGAGGGCGCTCTCTCAGGGGAGGTCCTGAGACCACCATGTGGATGTAGGGTTTTTTTTTTAAGAGCCAGCTGGGAGGACAGGCTTTAGAGGCCAGAACCCAAGGTTACCACTTCCTGGCTCTGTGACCTTGAATGTGTTACTTGACCTCACAGAGCCTCGGATGGCTCATGGGGAAAACTGTTCAACTGATAAGCCACCTTCCATACCTGTGGTGGCCTTGGGCATCTTTCAGGGAAGTAAGCCGATTGAGGGAGGGGGGTGACATCTTCTGTCCCCTTCTCCACCGCCAGGGCATCTCTCCTGAGGATGGCGCTGACCCAGATGGCGGGCTGGACCTGGAAGAGTTTTCCCGTTATCTGCAGGAGCGAGAACAGCGCCTGCTGCTCATGTTTCACAGTCTTGACCGGAACCAGGACGGTAAGGCTGGCTGTCCTGCCTGTCGGCCAAGGCTGGGGGGAGCTGGCGCTGGGGGGCCGGGAGACGTCAGTGGGGTTAGAACTGGCAGGATGGGAGAGAGGGGGAGGGCCGCTTCTCCCTGATGACTCACAGGCTATTTCGGGAGCGCTCCTCACCCCCAGCTAGGTGGTTCGAGGCCCAGCCAACCCAGCCCACCTCCTTCTCCCTTCTGGGGCAGAACCCCTCACTTCTTTTGGATTCCCTGTATAAGGGCAGAGACTGCCCGCCCATAGCATCTTCTGGGTTTCAAATATTGCCTCTCAAGCCCCTGTGACATAGAGACCTCTATAGTTACCGCTGGATTCATTCATTCGTTCATTCATTCATGGATCAGAGGACCCCCCCCAATATTGCCCAATTCCACCTCTCTGATCCCAGTGGGTCAGGGATCCCCCCCAAAACCCTGCCATAAACCTTGCCCTGGGTTTCTGGATCCCCTGGTCTTGGTGGACCATCTCCATTCCAAGCTGTCCTGATCCCTGGTCCTGGGGCCCCCCAGGGTCCCCACGTACACACCGTCCCCCACCTTGGGCCCTCTCACCAGGTCATATTGACGTCTCTGAGATCCAGCAGAGCTTCCAAGCTCTGGGCATTTCCATCTCGCTGGAGCAGGCAGAGAAAATTCTGCACAGGTGAGTCGTTAGGGGTCCGGAATCCCAGGTAACTCAGGACCCTGTGACCGCTCGGCCACCTTGAACGTCTGGACCCCAGCCCCAAGGAGGATGGAGCTGAGAGGTTGGGACTTTGGAGTCAGACAGACCTGAGGCCCAGTTGCCTCCCTTCTCTGAGCCTCAGTTTCCCCCTCTGTAAAATGAGGACAGTAATACCACCTCCCCAGGATGTCCCCAGGATAGAGTTAGTGTGAGGAATCAACACGGGACAGCCGGTGGAACGTGATTAGACCAGTACTAGACACGTGGCCAGCTCCCAGTGTGTGGAAGCTCGCTCTCCCCCCAAAGCTGCAAATCCCAGCAGAACCTCACCCCAGCCTCCCCCAGCCCCAGGCACTGAGCCTGTCCCTGCCCCCATTCTCCCTGTCCCCCACCCCCAGCATGGACCGCGACGGCACAATGACCATCGACTGGCAGGAATGGCGCGATCACTTCCTGTTGCATTCGCTGGAAAACGTGGAGGATGTGCTCTATTTCTGGAAGCATTCCACGGTGAGGTGGGGGTGGCTTCCCCAACCGGGAGACTGTGCCCCCTCCCCCAGGGTGGGGTGGTTTGTTCCTGTCTCCCCAGGGCTTGGAAAGGCTGTGCCAGCATTCTCGAGAAGGAGAAGGCACTGGCAGCAGCTGGGAGATGAGACCCTCTCTTCCTCCACTTGGGGTGCAGGGGTCCCATTCGGGACATCTCTGCTATCTGATTGGAGCCCAGCCCTTCAGACTTACTTTGGGGCCTCTAGGGGCAGCTTGTGGGGGCTGGGGGTGCAAAGAAGAAAGAGCTCCCCAAATGGGGTACCAGGCCTCCCACCCTCCACCCACACAGCTCCCCTTCTGCCAGGTTCTCTTTGCCTAAATAAAGGATCCTTGTGCTGAACAGAAAAGTTGGGAAGCCACTGTCTTTGGAGGATCCAGTGGATCCACTGGAGCTGGGGGAAGGGGTTGCTCTAGATCCCCACTTCCTGGGTGGGAATCCACAAGTGATGTGTCTGGTACAATCTGATGGCATCTGTGGGAGGGTGTGTGGCCCTGGAGGGATCTTCTGGAATCTTTACACGGGAGACCCTTGAGTGGGATCCTTCAATGGGGTCTGATTAGCTCTGGAGAGATCTTTATGTGGCAGGATCCTTTGGTGGGATTTGGTATAGGTCTCCAAGAGTACCTTACAGGGAGACCGTTAGGTTGGCATCTGGTAGGATCCAAGAGGCATCTCCTGGGCTCTCCAAGCAAGAGTCATTGGCAGCCTCTCTGGGATGTCCTGGCATTCATGGAAGAGACTCCCTTATTTAGGACTGAGCCACATGTCCTTGTCTCCACCATGGCATGACATCGCCGGTCCCTGTACCTTCAGGTCCTGGACATTGGGGAAAGCCTGACTGTGCCAGACGAGTTCTCAAAGCAGGAGAAGCTGACGGGCATGTGGTGGAGGCAGCTGGTGGCTGGCGCAGTGGCGGGCGCTGTGTCACGGACCGGCACGGCCCCTCTGGACCGCCTCAAGGTCTTCATGCAGGTGAGGGACCCTGGAGAAACCCACCCACTCCCGCAGGTCTGGGACATTGGAGGGGACCTCAAAGCCGCCTTATCTCCCCATCAGGTCCATGCCTCCAAGACCAACCGGCTAAACGTCCTGGGGGGCCTTCGGAGCATGGTCCGCGAGGGGGGCATCCGCTCCCTGTGGCGCGGCAATGGTATTAACGTACTCAAAATCGCGCCTGAATCAGCTATCAAGTTCATGGCCTATGAGCAGGTGCGAGCAGGGGCAGGGAGGGGTGTGCTTGGTGTGGGGTAGCCTGGGCTAGACATGAAGACTTATGGGATTGGCTTGGGGGCAGGGGACGAATGAATGCAGGTCCCTGGGAGTGGGCATCAGCTCCTCTGAGTGATGCCCCCAGCAGGTCAGTTCCATGGAAGTCGGGAGAACAGTGGAGTGCAAGGAAGGCTCAATCCCCGCCATCCTACGCATCCCTGTGTCTCCCACCCTCAGATCAAGCGGGCTATCCTGGGGCATCAGGAGACATTGCGTGTGCAGGAACGCTTTGTGGCTGGTTCCCTGGCCGGTGCCACGGCCCAAACCATCATTTACCCCATGGAGGTAAGAAGGAGGGACCCCGGCAGAGGGCCCACTACGGGGTAGGGAGCCCTCTGTCCCCACTTCACGCCACATTTCATGATACACACTGGGATGGTACCTCGGCCTCTCTCTGGTTCAAACTGCAGCTCATTAGAGCAGTGCCGTTTCCTGTGTATCCTGTCTGGTTATTTGAGATATATTTTCTGGGGACAGCAGTGTTGGTTTATCATTGTTGGGATGATCATCATGGGAGCCAGCTGTTGATGAATATGCCTCTTCTAAGGATAGGATGCTTGTTCCCAGGGGAAGCATTTCTAGGTGTCTAGCTGTTTTCAGAGAAATTATTTCAAGTTTCAGGTTGTGCAGTGTATCATTAGGATTCAGAAAGTGACAGAAAACTTAAATCACATAAATGAAGTCTAGAGATGAGCAGTTCAGACTTGGAGTGGTAGCTTCAGAGTGTTGGGGACCCGGTTCCTTCCGTTTATCTTGTTGTTCCACCACGTCATGGACCAACATAGCTGCCTGTGCTCCATTCATCACATCCCACATTCCAGCCAAGAAGGAAGAAGTGGCAAAGGAGGAGAAACACCTCCCCACCTCTAAGGATGCTTTCTGAACCTCACACATACCTCTTTCTTCTCCTTCCGTTTTACTGACTAGAACTTAGTGACATAGCCACATACCTAAGGAATCGGGGAAATATAGTCTTTATTTGTAGTAGCTGTGTGCTTGCTGAAAGTTACAGTTTCTGTTATTAAGGAAGAAAGGAACAAAATCATAGGACACAGTTAGTGCTGGCTGCCACATGCCACTCTAGTAGGTGTCACCATTTCTAGCTATAGAGATTCAGGGTTAGCAGAAGATTGTAGGTAAGTGTTTTTCGTTAATTCAGTTATTCTCAAGGCACCGAGGAGTAGCTATTTCTAGGTGACTTCATTCCTGGATGTAGTGATTTGGGGCGGGGGGGGCAGCTTTTCCAGGGATAACCAGGTCCTCCCCAGGTGCTGAAGACGCGGCTGACCCTGCGCCGGACAGGCCAGTACAAGGGGCTTCTGGACTGTGCCAGACGCATCCTGGAGCGCGAAGGGCCCCGCGCCTTCTACCGTGGCTACCTGCCCAACATGCTGGGCATCATCCCCTACGCGGGCATCGACCTGGCCGTCTACGAGGTCTGTGGGCAGCCCGCCCCTCCCTCCCTTCTCCCCTCTGGGACATGCTCACGGGACACCCCTTCCCCTGGGGCTGGCTCGATTGACCTCCCGTAGCCAGGGATGGAATGAGAGCACGGTGGGCTCTGGACTCCTGGGGGACCCCTCCAGGCCTTGGACTCTCCCACTCTTCCGCTTCCCGCAGTGAGAACCTTTGATTTTCAGTTCAGCCCTCTGGGATCCCCCAAAAGCCAGGGGCCCCTCTAGCTCACAGAGCTGTGAGAGCAAGAAAAGACGCATCTCAAAGATGTACACCTTCCCCAAAGCCTCTGTCTCCAAGCCAGTTTGTCTTCAGGGCCCGCCCATTTGAGCGTCCCTCACCCAATGACTAGCATCTCGGAAGCCTTGATCGACAAAGGCAGGAGCAGGGAGTTTTTGCTGTTTCTTCCGGGGGGGACTCATCTGTTGCTTTTCCCTTCTTCTGGTGGGATCACCAGGTTCCACCCACCCTCCCGAGTCACAGCAGCCCAAGATGTCCCCAGGAGTTCCCCCCCAAAATCTTTGTATCCAAGACAGGGCGAGCTCCATGGACATGCAACCTATGAATTTGCTATGAAGTCGCTCAGAAGCACCCTGTGCTTGGTTGTTTGTTTGTTTGTTTGTTTGTTTGTTTGTTTTGAGACAGGGTCTTGCTCTGTCACCGGGGCATCAGGGCAAAGACATCATCATAGCTCACTGCAACCTCAAACTCCTGGGCTCAAGCAATCTTCCCACCTCAGCCTCCCGAGTAGCTGGGACTACAGGCACGCTCCACCACACTCAGCTAATTTTTTCTATTTTTAGTAGAGATGGGGTCTCGCTCTTGCTCAGGCTGGTCTCAAACTCCTGGCCTCAAGCGATCCTCCTGCCTCAGCCTCCCAAAGTGCTGGGATTACAGGCGTGAGCCACTACGCCCAGCCCCCGTTTAGTTTAATGCTCTGCTACTGCCATCTTGAAATTGTCAATAATTTTCAAACAAGGGACCGTCCATTTTTATTTTGCACGGGGTCCCACCAATGATGTAGCCGGCCCTGATCTAAAATACTCTGTAGCACCCATCCATCCTCGTCCTCCCCAGCGCCCCGCATCTAGACAGCCAAGGGAGACAAGGACATTGCTCACTCGTTCGTTTGTTCCTCCACCTTCTCGTTCACTCATGCGCTTAGTGAGTATTCACTAAGCATCCACTAGGCGCCGGGCACTGCGCTCACTGCTGCAGGTGAGGCGTCCAATGAGACCAACGTGCTCCCTGTCCTCCTGGAGCGCCCATTCCAGAGAACTAGACAGTCAGGCAGCAAATAAGACAGTGTCAGCTCCCGAGAAGTTCCCAGAAGGCAATAAATTGGGATTTGTAATGGAAAGTAGCAGTGGGCAGGAGGGGGGTTGAAGAACCCCCCTGAGGAAGAGTCGCTAAAGCCATGAGTTAAGTACATTTTCAGAAGGGAGTGCGACCCAAGCAGAGGGCACAGCAAGGTGTGGAAGCAGCAATGAAGGTGACCTTTTAGAAGAGTAGAAATCTCAAGTGGCTGGAGAGAACTGATGAGGGCAGAAGACAGCGTCAGAAGATCATGCACGGATTCAACAATAAGGGTATATATGAGTTTATCCTAAGTACAATAGGAAGCCATTCATGGCCATGAGCAGAAATAAGAAGCAACCTTATTTAATACATTCTTCACCAAAAAAGGGGGTTGGAAAGTCTTAAGAAGTTTTAGAAACCTTGAGCCCTCTTTTAGACTTTCAAAATCTATGTTAGCCCCTTAAAGGCTCTGAGAAGTCCTGCAGTAAAGTGACTTAACTCTTTTTTCTTTTAGCTCAGTGTTGGCCATAGTTATCTAGTAACCTCTTTTCAACAGACAGCTCTTAATAACCCATTAAACATCTGTTTGGCAAATGCTACTCCAAATGCAAAAGAAGGCTACTAAAATTACAAAGGCAATAAAGGTAAAAACACTTGTCTGGTTTTACCCGCGCTATGCCCAGGCCAGGCATTACTAATCCATCACAGCACTGAATTCCTCTCAACACTGTTCCACTTCCAGGCAGCCATTACCAATGGATCAGAATTGACGTAGGAAATGGCCTTGCGGGGTAGCTCGCGCCTGTCATCCTAGCACTCTGGGAGGCCGAGGCAAGAGGATGTCTTGAGGCTTGTAAAGATGTCACTCTACTCTCTGCCTCTGTTGTCACCTGGCTGTCTTAATATGTGTGCGTCTCTGTCTCTGTGTCCAGTCATATTGGACTAGGGGGCCCACCCTCCTCATCTTAACTAATTATATCTGCAAAGATTGTTATTTCCATAGATGGTCACATTTTAAGGTACTGGGGGTTAGGACACCCACATCTCTTTTGCAGGGAGACACAATTCCACCCACAACCGTGGCTTATCAAGCAAGTTATCACTGCCGGCAAACGGAGCTCAGTTTCGCTGGGCACCCCTGGGAGGCAGCATAGGACGTGCCCTGCCAGAGAGGTGAGGGAGCTGGGGTGTGGATACCCCACGTCGGGCATTCGAAGGTTGCTTCTGGAGAATTCTCCATTTCTTCCTGCCTGCTCCTAAGTGGGCAGAGCAGCCCGGCCCGGATCCAGAGAAAGTTCTCAGGCGGAGCTGGAAGTCGGCAGGTCTGAACCGAGGAGCTAAGGGGTGAGGACGGGGCACCCCCAGCACCCGCCTTGGGCAGCGTATCTGTCTCTCCCTCGGCTGCTGTAACAAATGACCATGAACTTAGTGGCTTAAAGCAACACGATGCGTCATCTTACAATTCTGGAGATCAGAAGTCCAAAATGCCCTTCCTGGGCTTTATAAAATCAAGGTGTTGGCAGGGCTGTGTTCCTTCTGGAGGTTCTAGAGGAGAATCTGTTTCCTGGGCTTCGGAAAGCCTCTAGAGGCTGCCTGTGTTCCGTGGAGCGTGGTCCCTTCCTGCGTCCTCAGAGCCAGCAGTGTAGAATCTTCCAATCCCTCCCTCCCTCTCTCCTCTGCTTCTGTCTTCACGTCCACCATCTACTCTTCCGAGGGCCTGTGCTGGCTTCGGGCCACCCAGGTGATGCAGGGCAATCTCCCCCCATCTCAAGGTCCTTAACCGAATCGCATCTGCGGAGCCCTTTGTGCCACGTCAGGTAGTGCGTGCTCAGGCTCAGGGGTCTAAGGCACCATTGTTCACACGGTACAGGGATCATGATTCTACCTGCCGTAGAGAGTCAGGCTGAGGATTGAGTGAGGTCCCCTAGGAAAAGAGCTCGCACAGCCCCCAGGAGGTACTAAGTGCTTGGCTAGTACCAGCTGCCATGGGATGCAGAGCTGGCCAGCAAGGTCCTACTGTTAGTCTAACCCTCTTCCCTCCTACTGCAAAGGCCGCCAGGCCTAGCCCTGGGGGTGGGGTGTAGGAGGGGGAAGTGAGAGGGGAATTTTGGCCTTACCTAGCCCCCCACCTCCTCCCAGCCTCCATTGTGGGTGCCCCTGCCCCGCCCCTAGCTGTCCAAGCCAGGGTCCTGGTATCCCCCAAACCACCCTACTGCTCCCTTCTCCACTCCAGACCCTGAAGAACTGGTGGCTCCAGCAATACAGCCACGACTCGGCAGACCCAGGCATCCTCGTGCTCCTGGCCTGCGGTACCATCTCCAGCACCTGCGGCCAGATAGCCAGTTATCCCCTGGCGCTGGTCCGGACCCGCATGCAGGCCCAAGGTGAGGCCTGGGCGGGAGGATGGGACGAGTCCAATCTCACCACGCGGGCGAGCCCTGGGCCGGGACCCTCCAGCATTTAGACGGCCTGTCCGGGTCTCAGTTACCTATTCGTGACGTCGGAACGGGTGTCCTTGATTCTTACGGAGCTGCGGATTAACCGGGAGGACAGATGCAGTCAGTACCGCGTGAGCTCCCTGGCAGCCTCAGCTGGGAGGCCACCGTGGCAAATGCCTGGCATTTCCAGGCTGCTAACCTGAGCCCCAACTTGCAAGGCTGGGGTACAGTGAGCGGGAGGCTAGGAGCAGGGTAAGGAAAGCCAGGGCCCAGCGGATTATTGCTTTCATTTGTATTTTTCTTTTATGAGTTCTTCTCCCCCAACACACACGCCACCCCCATCCCCAAGCCTCCCACCATCTGTGAGTCTGTTTTGAGAATTGCCTTGGAAATTTTAGCGTTTTGTGGTTTTTTTGTGATTTTTCACTGGGATGTGTCAAGGCACAAGACAGACGTGGTCCCCACAGTCCTAGGGCTCCCAGGCCAGAGAGGAAGAACGGTGCTGAATAAATCATTCCGCAATTAAGTATTGATGGAGGGTTGACTGAAGGGGTGGGGGACTTAGGCTGACTTAGGCTGGGGCGACAAACAGGGCTCCCCTGAAGAGCTGGCTTTGGAATAGAGGTTGGAGGATGCATAGGAGTTAGCTGGGAACAGGGGGGCATGGAGTTCCAGAGAGAGGACATTTCTGCCCCCTCTCCCACCACACACACACATACACATACCTGCTCTGTTTCTAATCGTCCTTAAACTTGGGTCCCCAAGATTGGGGTGAAAGGGTGAGCTGCCAGTTTCAAGGCCAGGGGAAGTCCTGACTCAAAGCGGTAGGTCCCACTGTGAGTCTAGCCTGCTTCCCTCCTGCTGCAACAGCCACCTGGCCCAGCCCTGGGAGGGGAGGTGGTCGCAGGGGGGAAGTGAGAGGGGAACTTTGGCCTCACGTGGCCCCCTGCCCCCTCCCAGCCTCCGTCGAGAGCGGCCCCCAGGTGTCCATGCTGGGTCTGCTCCGTCACATCCTGTCCCAGGAGGGCGTGCGGGGCCTCTACCGGGGCATTGCCCCCAACTTCATGAAGGTTATTCCAGCTGTGAGCATCTCCTATGTGGTCTACGAGAACATGAAGCAGGCCTTGGGGGTCACATCCAGGTGAGGGACCCGGAGCCCGGCCCCCACCCCGCGACCCCTCACCCAGGTCGTGACGTCCCCCACACCTCCAGCTGATGACCCAACCACTGGATCCCGATGCTCCGACTCTAGATCCCAGATCCCCTGAACGGTAACCTCAACTGTGGGTCCTGCACTTTGGCAACCTGAGTCCGACACCCAAACCACCAGATCCCAGATTACACCCCGGCCCTTAATCCCTACCCCCCCCAGATCACTGGATCCTGCACCCCCACACCCCCAAGGTGGATCCCACGTGTCCCTGTCCCGCCCACTGTGTCCTTGACCTCCGTGTCTTAACCCCTGGATCCCACTTAACTCAGCGAACGGGTCCCGATACCCCGACCACAGGAGCACATGTCACCCCCGCCTGTACCTCAGCACCCAGATCCCAGCTCCCTCGGGCACCAGATCCGGTGTCCTCGCGCTGCCCCGGATCCCAGATCCCCCAACCCCAGATCTGCATGCCTCAAGCCCCGGCTCTCCAAGCTCAGCCACCGGATTCCGGACATCAGGAAACCTCAGCCACCCAATCCTGCCAGTGCAATGCGAGATCCGGGGGCCCCCACCACTAGATCCCAGATCCTCTTGCCCCAGCCACTGGATCCCTAAATTTCAAGCTCCGCACCCTCAGCCCCCAACCACGGGGTCCCAGATTCCCAAGTCCCTGACCCGCTGGATTCTGGCTCCTAAAACAAACGCAGAAGCCCAACAGCATAACAATCTGCAGCCAGTGGATTCCAGATTCTGGAACCCAAATCCTTCCGCCCCGCGTCACTGGATGCTGGAACCTCATACACAGAAGGCAGACCCTGGCACTGGGTCCCGCCCTTGGTTCCTGGTTGCTCATCTGCATACTCCGGGCGCTGGGTTCCGAGTGGTCAGGCTCCCTAATCTAGATCCCAACAGCCCAATCTCAGCCTCCTGGGTCCCACACAGCCTCATCCCAGACACACCCAGAGCCCGGTGCCCACGACATGAGACTGCGTGGTCTAGGGACCTGCAGGGAAGCCCGGATCCCACCTGCCCCACAGCTCCGGAAAACCTAGAGCATTTGTCCCAAGTCTTGGTATGGGACATCGCCAGGAAGCAGGGGAAGGGGTGCCTCTCCCACGACCTGCGTGATCCTGGGTCCTCCCGCACCTCCCAGCCCTGCGGGGAATCTGTTCCCTGAAACCACGTCCATTCCCACCCCACCCCACCCCCTGTGGCGTCTTCCATCCCCTTCCCACTTTATAGGCTCATAACCCCCAGGGCCCGAGTCCCTTTGGAGGATCCAGCCGCTCATGCTTGGGGGCTTCACGAGTGGGAAGCCAGGAGCAAATCTGCATAGCCCACCCTTCCCTAAACCCAAGCATCCAAATTATGCAAAAACAAACAAAAAAAGAGCCAAATCCCAAAACTCATTCCGGGTATATTTTTGTAGCAGAAAGAGGAACAAAGCCTCCCTCCCCCTCCAACCCAAGCCCCAGCCCCCCAGCCCCCTAACATTCTGCACTTTATAGTTGGATTCTGAGCTTAGGATAATTGGAGGATGCCATGAACGGACTTGGAAAGAGGGCCTGGGATGTTGCGGGGGCTAGAGGACTCCCCCACGGCTTCCACCTCCCCGCCTGTGTGTGTTATTTCAAAGGAAAATAACAAAAGGAATAAATTTTCTAAGCTCTTTTATCGTGGTTTTTACTGAAAAGGGGTGGGTGGATGTGGGACCCCTTCAACCTGCCCCCAGGGAAGGGACATGGGACAGTTTCCCATCACACACAGTTCTAAGAGCCTGGAAATGACTCTCTCCTTCAGCCTCAGTTTCCACATCTAAGAGAAACTGGCGGGGGAGCGAGTCTATATTTAGGACTTCTTCTTCAAGTTTATTCTGTATTTTTTTCTAATAGCATGAGTGTATTGGTTTCCTAGGGCTGCCATTACAAATTACCACAAACTGGATGGCTCAAAACAACACAAATTTTTATTAACCATTTTTTTAATCAAATACAAGACATGAAATTTACCATTTTACCCTTTTTTTTTAATTTACTATTTTTTTTCTTTAGAGACAGGGCGTGGGGTCTCACTATGTTGCCCAGGCTGGTCTCAAACTCCTGGCCTCAAATGATCCTCCCACCTCAGCCTCCCAAAGTTCTGGGATTACAGGTGTGAGTCACGTTCACGTCACAGTCACGTCATCATGCAATAACGTCCCCTTCCCTCTCCCCTCCAGTCCCTGGCAACCTCCATTCTACTTTCTGTCTCTGTGACTCTGACGACTCTAGGGACCTCATATAAATGGAATCATACGGTATATTTGTTATTTTGCGTCTGGTTTATTTCACTTAGCATAACGCCTGCAAGGTCCATCCATGTTGTAGCGTGTGTCCCAAATTCCTCGCTTTCTGTGGCTGAATAGTAGTCCACTGTGTGGATGGACCACATTGTGTTCATCCATTCCTCCGTCAGTGGCCACTTGGGTTGCTTTCACCTTTGGGCTACTGCGAATAAAAATTCTGGGAGCTAGAACCATAAGAGGATACATTTTTGTATTTTGCAACGTGCTTATTTCCAAATAAGGTCACCTTCACAAGTCCTAGGAGTTAGGACTTGAGTTAAGCCACACATCTGTGGCGGATAAAATTCACCCCATGACAAGTGGTTCAAATTCATTGCAGGAAAAATAGAAAATGCAGAATATCGGTTACATAGATATAAATATATATGTGCGTATCTCAAAGCCCCTAGATAACCACTGTGAGGCTATTAATTTATATTCTTCCGAACTTTTTCCTGCGTAGACTGTGATCGTCACCCTTCAAGGTATTCCCCAGCGATTCTTGCCTCTTAGTATTACGCTCTTGTGAAGTTCCCTCTCTCACTGTCCGAGGGTGGGTCTCTTTGACCAAGAGAACGCGGAAGTGATGGTACATTACATCCAAGATTGGGTTATAAAAGACACTGCCCCTACTATCTTGATCACATCTCTCTCTCTCTTTCTCTGTCTCTCTCTCTCATCTCTGGTATCGTGTGCTCTGAAGGAAGCCAGTGATGATGAACTCCAGCCAGTAGCCATGTAACTGAACTTGGAAGAGGATCACCCCAACCCTGGCCAACTCCACAAGAGACCCTGGAGACCCCAACCCTTGGAGATCCTTCCACCCAAACAACTGGATCTCAGATCCTGAATCCTGAAATCTTAGACCTTTATACCTCAAACACTGGATCACAAGAACGCCCAGCTAAGCTGCTACTGAGTTCCTAACCCTCAGAACCAAACCTGGGTGAGATGATAAATGTTTGTTGTTTTAAGCAGCTAGATTTTTTTGAAGGGGAGTAATTTGTTACACAGCCATAGCTAGCTAATACATCCACACACGCATATATTTGATTTTTCATGCACTCAAAAAAGGGATCAAACCTTGCAAACTATTTTGTATGTTTACTTCCTGTAAATTATATTCTTATATCCCATGACAGTTTGGCTGAGAACTAGGAAGCTCTGCCAACTAACATACAATATGACCTCTGACAGACTCAGTTTCCCTACCTACAATATCAGGGATGTTTCAACCGACATCCTTAAAGCGAAAAGAACTTATATTTAGCGAGCAAGTTCTATGTGCCTCACTGTGTGACAAGCCTTTTAATGTATCATCTTATTCATTTATTCATTGAACACTTACTATGCGCCAGATCCAGTTCTAGACACGGGATACAGAAGCGAATGAAACAAATATCTCTGCCCTCGTAGCCCCAACATTCTAGTGGGGAGACATCGACAATAAATAACATGAATAAATATACAGCACTCTAGGAAGCAAACAGGAAAATAAAAGAGGGAGAGAGGATACCAAATATTGCAAGGCAGAGTTTAAATTTTAAATAGGGTGGTCTGGGGAGGCCTCATAAAGGTGACAGTTGAAGAAAGACTTTAAGGTAGTGGGGAAGGGAGCCCTGGGACGTCTGGGGGAAAAGCATTCTGGAAAGAGGGCACAGCCTGTGCAAAGGCCCTGGAGCAGGACAGCACCCGGCATGTTGAAGGCACAGTGAGGAAGCTCGTGTGCCTGGAGCAGAGTGAGGAGGGGGAGAGAGCAGAGAGGGGACAGGGGAGGACTTGGGCTTTGACCCTGAGGGAGGTGGGAGCCATGGAAGGCTGTCAGCAGAGGAGGAACGGGCCCTGACTCAGGTGCCCACAGGCGCTCTCTGGTGGCTTCTGAGGGGAGGACAGACTGGGGCAGGGGAAGGCAAGGGCAGGACCCAGGGACCAGGGCTGTGGGATCAGGGGAGCAATGACCGGGCAGATGAGGGTGGCGACCCCACATGGACGTTGAGTGAAGCAGCCAGAGTGTGGATATATTTGGAAGGCTGAGCCAACAGGGTTTGGTGATTTGAGTGCGCGCTTGAAAGAAAAAAAGGAGTTAAGGAGTATTTCGACCTCGACAACTCAGATGATGGAAGTGCCCTCAGCTAAGCCTCTCACTGGATCCTGCTGACGATACCATGTAGTAGAGTTTATCGTTACTTCCACCTTCCAGATGGGGAAACCGAAGCTCGGAGAAGGAAAGTGAGAACCCCAAGATCGCACAGCAAGAAGCATTCAAGATGGGATTCGAGTCAGGAACATCTGACATCAAACCTATGCCAGTCTCGTTTTGGGGACCAACTGTGTCTCTCTCTCCCGGAGCTCCAGAGCCATCTCCTCCTCTCTCGCTTAGTTGCTGTGACAATGAAACCCAGCGTATGAGTCTCCATTGGCTGCTGTAACAAGTGACCACAAATATAGAAGCTCCAAGCAACACGCATGCATTATTCTGGAGGTCAGAAGTCTGTCATGGGGCTTGCTGGGCTAAAATGAAGGTGTCAGTAAGGCTGGTTCCTTCTGCAGACTCCAGGGGAAAATCCATTTCCTGCCTTTTCCGGCTTCTAGAAGCCACCCGCATTCCTGGGCTCATGATCCCCTTCCTTCCTCAGTGAGGAAGAAAGAGAGAGAGAAAAAGAGAGAGAACAAACAGTGGCTCATGCTTGTAATCCCAGCAGCATTTTGGGAGGCCAAGGCGGGAGAATCACTTGAAGCCAAGAGTTCAAGACCAGGCTGGGCAACATAGCAAGACCCCACCTTTAGAAAAAATAAGAAAAATCATCTAGGCATCATGGTGCACGCCTGTAGTCCCAGCTACTTGGGAGGCTGAGGCAGGAGGATTCCTTGAGCCCAGGAGTTGGAGGCTGCAGTGAGCTATGATAACGCCTGGGTGACAGAGCAAGACCCGAGCTCTGATCTCCCTTTTCTTATAAGGGCACTAATCCTATCATGGGGGCCCCACCCCCAAGAACTCATCTAGCCCTCATTGCCTCCCAAATGCCCCACCTCCAAATTCCATCCCACTGGCGGATAAAACTTCAACATAATAATGTTGGTGGGACACAAAATTCAGTCCACCACAAGCACATAGTCACCAGTCTGGGGGATTAGGATGAGAACCTTTGTATGGGGGCGGGGTGGGGGGGAAGGATCATCGCTCTGCCTGCCACACTCAGCAAGGTCACAGGGCTTCTATGACCTCACTGTCCCCTAAGCATCCCACCCACTAGACACTCCCGCATAGTAGCTGGACAGGCAAAGGACTCCTCAGAAATTTGAATCCAGGTGTCCTAACCTCTAGCTGCGATGGGATCTTCTCGCGAGGAGGCTCAGAAGCCTTGTTCGGGGGTCCAGACCCTGCTGAAGAGGGTCAAGGCCCTCGTTATCAAAGCCCCGCCTCCGCCCCCGCCCGCCTCCCGGAACCCAGGCTGTACTCACGTGTATGGGTACGTGTTCGGGCACGTGCCCGAAAACAACCTCGAGCACCTGCCATCCCAGCAGGTGAGCAGATCTACAATTCTACCTTCAATCGGCAGGTCTGAGTCGGGGCACAGGGTGGGTCTCTCTGACCAGGAGGGTGTCCCAGAGGCGCGCCTGGGGCCAGGAGCCCCAGCCTGGCCGAGTGTGAGCGAGGGCTGGCTCTGCCTTTGCAGGTTCTAGACACAGGAGAGCAGTTGATGGTTCCCGTGGAGGTCTTGGAAGTGGGCAACGAAGGGGCCTTGTGGAAGTTTCTGCTCTCGGGAGCCATGGCCGGGGCGGTGTCCCGCACGGGCACCGCCCCGCTGGACCGCGCCAAGGTGTACATGCAGGTGTGTGCGGTGGCGGCGGAACGCGGAGGGTGGGGACGGGTGGAGATGACGCCGATGGGGTTCAGAGTTGGGGTGCAGGCTGAAGTGGGGGACTCCCGTGCCCTGGTTGAGAGCGGGGTTGTGGGCATGGCGGGGCAGATGCGGATGGGGCATGGACCTGAGTCGGGGGAATCTACTAGGGACAGGACCCAACACTGGGCCAAGGCTGGGGCTGGAAATCGGAGAGTTGGATGGGGGGATCTTTGGGTTGGACTAGAGAGAAGAGGAAGGTGGGATGGGACAGGAATGCGGGGCGATGCTGGCTTTGGGTCTGGGTTGGTTTGGACACTTGTAGGACTGGTCCCCGCGAGGCGAGGGAGGGGAAACGAGCTGGGGAGGGAGATGGGGCTGGGGCTGCGTGGTCGAGGAGGACGGAGGGGGCTGCTGTCCAGGCTGGGATGGGGACGGCGATGGGGTGCAGGGCTGTTCACGGGGCTCCTCCAGGGTCCTCCCTCTCCTGCCCCCCAGGTCTACTCCTCCAAGACTAATTTCATGAACCTGCTGGGGGGGCTCCGGAGCATGGTCCAGGAGGGGGGCGTCCACTCCCTGTGGCGTGGCAACGGGATCAACGTCCTCAAGATAGCCCCCGAGTACGCCATCAAGTTCTCCGTGTTTGAACAGGTGGGGAACGGATGGGATACTGTCCCCAGCTCAAGCCCAAACCCAAAACCCCTCCTGTACCCTCCCAAAGTCCAAGTCCTCGTCCAAGACACACATTCACCCTCCAGCCCCCTCCCCCCGGGCAGGTTCCCAACCGGAAGGTGGCCAGCTTCGCTCTCACTCTGTTCTCTCCCGTGCCAGTGTAAGCATTACCTCTGCGGAGTACACGGGTCCCCGCCCTTTCGGGAGCGTCTCCTTGCCGGCTCCCTGGCTGCAGCCGCCTCCCAGACGCTCATCAACCCCATGGAGGTAAGAGAATGTCTGTCCCCGCACAGAGGAGACAAACACCATGGAAATTAGTTGCCATCTTTCTCCTCCCCTGCTTAACCTGTCCTCTTTGTGACGCAGTCACAGCTCACTGCATCCTCGAACTTCCGGGCTCAAGCGATCCTCCTGCCTCAGCCTCCCAAGTAGCTGGGACTACAGGCGCCGCCACCACACCCAGCTTTTTGAAAAAAATTTTTTGTAGAGATAGGGTCTCGCTTTGTAGCCCTGGATGATCTCGAACTCCTGGCCCCAAGCAATCCTCCCACCTCAGCCTCCCAAAGTGCTGGGATGCCAGGTGTGAGCCACCATGCCCAGCCCCTCCTCCTTCTTGATATGAACTATGCATCAGACTTTTGAGTAGAAAGTACGCAGTTTCCTTATACCGCTCCCTCCTCACACACAGTTTCCTCTGTTGTTAACATTTCACATTACGGTGCCATATTTGTTACAACTGATGCATCGATGTTGATACATTATCATTAAGGGAAGCCCATAGCATACATTAAGTTTCACTCTTTGTGTCGTATAGTTCAGCGGGTTTTTGACAAACGTATAATGTGTCCACGTGAATAGTTTCACTGCCCTAAAAAGCCCTGGTTGGCTACCTACTCACCCCTCCCTCCTCTTCTCAATCCCTGGCACCACTGATCTTTTTACTGATACAGTTTTATGCTCTGTCTTTAACTTTTTTTGAGAGAGAAAGAGACACAGTCTCTGTTGCCCAGGCTGGAGTGCAGTGGCGTCATCATAGCTCACTGCAGCCTCAAACTCCTGGGCTCAAGGGATCCTCCTGCCTTAGCCTCCCAACTAGCTCGGACTACAGGTGTGCACCACCACACCCAGCTAATTTTTTTAAATTATTATTTTTTAAGATGGGGTCTTGCTATGTTGCCCAGGCTGGTCTCAAACTCCTGGCCTCAAGTGATCCTTCTGCTTCAGCCTCCCAAGTAGCATGCCACTGCACCCATCTTTCATATAAACTTTTTTTTTTTTTTTTTGAGACAGAGTCTCACTCTGTTGCCTGGAGTAGAGTGCCGTGGCATCAGCCTAGCTCACAGCAACCTCCAACTCCTGGGCTTGAGCAATCCTACTGCCTCAGCCTCCCGAGTAGCTGGGACTACAGACATGCGCCACCATGCCCGGCTAATTTTTTTTTCTATATAGATTTTTAGTTGTCCAAATAATTTCTTTCTATTTTTAGTAGAGACGGGGTCTTGCTCTTGCTCAGGCTGGTCTCGAACTTCTGACCTTGAGCGATCCCAGAGTGCTAGGATTACAGGCGTGAGCCACCACGCCCGGCCTTTTTTTTTTTTTTTTTTTAAGAAACAGGGTCTTGCTCTGTCACCCAGGCTGAAAGGCAATGGCCCAATCATAGCTCATTGTAACCTTGAACTCCTGGCCTCAAGCGATCCTCCCAAAGTGCTAGGATTACAGGCGTGAGCCACTGCACCCAGCCCGTATAAACTTTCAAACCAATCTGTCAGCTTAAGAAAACAAAATCACCTAGTGGTATTTATTTGTGTCTCAGTGGGATGGTGTTCAATTCATGAACAAGTTTAGAGATTTCTGCCTCCTATATGATGCTGAGTCTACGTATGCAACAACATATTCCACTCATTCAAGTCTCTCTGAATGTCCTTTAATGGCATTTTAAGGTTTTCTTCCTATAACTCTTGCACTTGTCTCATTAAGCTTCTTCCTAAATGCATTAGTGTCCTATTGTTGTGGAACAAATCGCTACAAATTGAGCAGTTTAAAATGACACACGTTTGTTATCTCACAGTTTCTGTGGCACTGGTTAGGTGGGTCTTCTGCTTAGGGTCTCATCAGGCCAAAACCAAGGTGTCCATTTGCCTACAAGGGAACGCATCTGAGGCTTGGGGTCCTTTTTCAAGCTCCGTGGTTGTTGACAGGATTGAATTTCTTATGATTGTAGGACTGAGGTCCTCCGTTCTTAGGGACCACCATTGCTCTCTGCCACATGAACATCTCCGTGCACAAGGCAGTTTGCTTTTTTGTCACCCAATAGGAGGCTGGGTGTGGTGGCTCATGCCTACGATCCCAGCACTTTGGGAGGCTGAGGTGGGAGAATTGCTTGAGGCCAGGAGTTTGAGGCTGCAGTGAGCTGTGATGACGCCACTGCACTCTACCCTTGGTGACAAAGGGAACCCTGGGAGGGAAGGAAGGAAGGAACAAAGGAAGGAAGGAACAAAGGAAGGACAGAGAAGACCCAATAGGAGAGTGCTTCCTAGCTCTCTGACTTCTTGTTTCTGGCTACAGACTCTCATTTTAAGCACTCACTGATTAAGTCAGGCCCACTGAGAAGTTTCTCTTTTGATTACCTTAAAGCAGCGGTCCCCAACCTTTTTGGCACTGGGGACTGTTTTCATGGAAGACAATTTTTCCACGGACTGTGGGGGGTGGCGGAAGGATAGTTTCAGGATGATTCAAGTGCATTACATTTATTGTGCACTTTATTTCTATTACTATTACATTGTCGTATATAATGAAATTAATTATACAACTCACCATAGGTTGGGGACCCCTGCCTTAAAGAGAACAGATTAGGGGCCTTAATGACATCTGTAAAACCCCATCACCTTGGCCTTGTGACATAACCTCCTCAGGAAAGTGAAATCTCATCATGTTCACGGTCCAGCCCATGCTCAAGGTCGCGAGAGCATCATATAGGGCATGTTTATGGAGTGGGGTGGCCTCTTGTGGACCATCTTAGAATCTTGCCTGCCACACTAGGTGTTCTATTTTTTGTGCAACTGTAGAGTTGGCAATATTGGAGTATCTCATCAAAATTCTGATTTCTGGCGGCTTTTGGAAAATTGGCAGGTCTGGCCACCTGGGCCCCGAATTCCCATGGAGGAATTTGGCAGGAGCTCGATCACAGCTAACAGATCTCACTTGGCTCATGTCACTTCTCTGGCCTTCTTGGTCTCTGTCAGCACGTGCACATCTGACATTCAAAATTTAGAGAGCAGTCCGGGGAGTCCGATGGATCTATGTTTGAAACCCAGGTCTAAATCCAATGAGTCACCTCACTCCCTACCCTCCCCAGGTGCTGAAGACACGGCTGACCCTGCGCCGGACAGGACAGTACAAGGGGCTGCTGGACTGCGCCAGGCAGATCTTGGAGCAGGAGGGCACCCGCGCCCTTTACCGGGGCTATTTGCCCAACATGCTGGGCATTGTCCCCTATGCCTGCACCGACCTGGCCGTCTACGAGGTGTGGGTCCCAAGAGACGGTGTCAGTTGTGGGGGAGGTAGCCAGGCTTTGAGTGTGAGCTTTCTCTTGGCCCCTTTCGCTTTCAGATGCTCCAGTGCCTCTGGCTCAAGTCAGGCAGGGACATGGAGGACCCCAGAGGCTTGGTCAGTCTGTCGTCTGTGACACTGTCCACGACCTGCGGCCAGATGGCCAGTTACCCGCTGACTCTGGTGCGCACCAGGATGCAGGCCCAAGGTCAGCTGGCCCCTGGTAGCCACTGCCTCACCCTAGATCTCTGGGTGATCTCATCTCCCGGAACCGACCCCCAGACTTTCCATGTTGGATCCTGGCCACATTCCCTGACCCCTGAGCCCACCAAGACTTACCATACTCCCCCCAAATCTGATACCAGCCCTTAAATTAACCCTTAAAAAATCACTAAAACTAACATCCATCTCCCAGCTGACCCCCACAAACTTCCCAAAATGTGACCCAGGCCCCCATACAGACCCCAAAGACAAATACTCCCAAAATGATCTCCCAACTTCTCCAAATCAGACCCAGCCCTCAACTGGCTGCACAAGCCAGTATGGTCTCTAAACTCACCAAGTCTGATCCAAAACTCACACCCTGGGAACGCCCCTAATCTGAATCCCCTAAATGGATTCTCAGCCAATTCACAAACCTCAAAACCAATTCACAAATCTCAAAACAGGGCCTTAGCCCACCATCCTGATCTTGAAAATGGCCCCAAACTACCCCTGGGTACACTCCCCAAATCTCTAGTAGATCTCAGATGTTCCCTCCCAAATAAGTTCTAATGTCTTCTAAGATGTTCCTTAAAATGAATCCCAAAAGCTCCTACCTGCTTGATACCCCCATTTCCCCAAAAACTGACCCATTTCCTCTATAAATCGTCCAAACTCCTCTCCAAGTGACCACTGGGCCCCTAGCCCTGGCTTCAGCCCTCACTTCACATTCCAGCCTCCCAGGAGGTGGAGTCATCTCTGGCCAAGTCCTGAGCCTGCCTCTGTCCCTGCAGACACCGTGGAGGGCTCGAACCCCACCATGCGAGGAGTCTTTCGGGGGATCCTAGCCCAGCAGGGCTGGCTGGGGCTATACCGAGGCATGACCCCCACATTACTGAAGGTGTTGCCAGCAGGTGGCATCAGCTACGTGGTGTATGAGGGCATGAAGAAAACCCTGGGCGTATAGCCTGTGAGCTGCATGACACTTCCTGGGCAGAAATGGGACAGAAGGACCCTTTCCCTCCATGGCCTCAAAGAGCCCTCCAGGCTCAGGTCCTGGGGCAGTTTTTGGTGGCAAAAGCAGGCTGGAGACGAGGATGAGAAGATTCCTGCGCCCACCTCCCCCACCCCCGGGTGCAGCCTGGGACTAGAATTTTGGGCTCCAGTCTGGCTCCTTGTAGCTCGTCCTAGGGCGAAATGGCCAATGCGCAGACAACCCACAATAAAGAGATGGCTTCTGCTGGACATGTCTGGGATCCCTGGGTTCAGGAAGGGAAATTGGGGACCTTAGGTCTCTGGACCCTAAATGAGAATTGGAAGCTTGGATGATGTCTGGGTCCAGGTGAAAAGTTGAGGGCCTAGGCTGGGAATTTGGGGGCTCAGATTCCGGGGCCTTATGTAAAGGGGGTGTGGGGTGTGGAATTAGGGGCTGGGAGTCCTCGGTTTTTCGAACGGACCTAGGACTCTTGCGTTCCGGAGGGCAGTTGGTTCCATGAGTCCTGGAGGAGAAGGGGAAGCTCTAGATTCCTGGGGCGAGAGAGGAGAGAGGAGGGGGATCCCCGGGTTTCGTGCTCTCTCTCCGCCCCACCCCCGGAAGCACCCCACGTCCAAGGCTTCAAGCAGGCCACGTGCTGGGCCTACCCAGCCGGGCTCCTGGGGAGCTAACCCAGACGTCAGGCCTGAGTTCGGGCAGCCGGTCGCCACCGCCCACGTCGGCTGCCATTCACTCCGGTTCCCGCTAATCCCCTCTCGCGGTCCGGCGGCCAGCTCCGCCCCAATGCAGCTGCGCTTCCACTGGCTCCCACCAAAACTGGGCACCTTTATTTCCTTTTTAGCCATTTGTCCCGAGCAGTGTCAGTCACCCCAACACCCGCCCCTGCCACTCAGCCATTGGTTTAGAAGTCAGGGCCAGAGAGGGATTCTGGTTAACAAGGAAAGCAATCAAGTCAAACCCAACCTTATCATCCAGAACTCGTCAGGGATTGGACTAAATCGGTTGCCAATCTTCACAAGTACCGCCTACCATCTGTATTCATTGGCTTGAATGAGCGACTATCAGGACAATCGCCCGCCCAACCCGTCCAAAGGTGGGGGGGGGGTCTTTCACTAGGCCCCGCCTCCCGGTCCACGTGACTCTTCCGAGCCTTCAATCTGGTTCAGAAGCCGCCCCGCAAATCTGGAACTCTCGCGTCATTGGGCCTCCCGCCTTCTCGGATCGCCTTGATTTGCCCGCCCAGCTCCGGCAGTCCACAGCCCATTGCCTCTGAGAGCTGTCAGTCACTAAACGCCTCCCGCCCACTGCCTCTCGCTGCATTCCGATTGGCCGCTCGCCTTCAGACCCCGCGATTGGTGTCCGGGGTGCGGCAGCCGCCTCCCATTGGCCCAGTAGAGCTGTCCGTCACGCTGGCGGCGGGAGGGGGCAACCCTCTCCCCCTCGTCGTCTTCCCAGCCGCTGGGTTCCCAGAGTGCTCCGCGGCCGTGTGGAGCGAGGCCTTGTTCCCGCGTTGAGCCGCCGCCGCCTCCTCAGCTTCAGCCTCCGCTCCAGGCCCGGCCCGGCCGCGCCATGTCGGACTACAGCACGGGAGGACCCCCGCCCGGGCCGCCGCCGCCCGCTGGCGGGGGCGGGGGAGCCGGGGGCGC